CTTGGTTCTGAAATCAGGTTCTTTTGAGCACTCCTCTGTTCCATTTCCACACGTCACTGATGCACAGGGAGCCAAGGATGTGAAGGGATCTTGTTTTGCTGGAGCGTAAATCCTTTCTCCTCTGTCCTAATGATTGGTGGGAGCCTGGGGACCCCTTACAAGGTGGGGAGTTCCATGGGTCATGCAGAGGTGTTTGGGAGATAGATATGGGAAGTGTGGGCAGTGAGCAGGCGCCCATGTGCACACGTCGCTGGTCCCTACCTCTGTCTCCCTGATTTCCTACCTGCAGTCACCACTGGAGCACCCCCTCCCCCAAGGAGCACCTTCCTGGAGTCTCTGCCCGGGGCTGTTGGGCACGTTCTCGCAGCCAGGACCCCCTTTGCGCGGAGAGGACTTCTCTGGACAGGCCCTTCTAGCTCTTTCTTTCAGGAGTGCTCCCCTGGCCCCGCCCCCAGGTAGACCCTGCTGTCTTCTCTCTTCATGAGACAAAAGCAGCCCAGCAGCTCCAGGCTCCCCCTCAGGAGATCTGGCATCCATCAGGTTAAATTTGCATGTTCTGTCACAATTTCTGGAGTTCTAATGTTGTCACTGCGCTGGCTCTGTAAGATGATTCTTGTTCACCTATGTCCTCTGTATCTTTTTGCAAGTGGTAAACGCATGCCTGGTCCTAGCATTTCCTCTGGGCCTGTTGCCTTTGTGGTCAGACATTCGCCCCCTCTTTATCCCTGCAGCCTGGGCAACAGTAGCTCTTCAGTCTCCAGCTGTGGCATCCCCTCCTGGCTCACTTCAGCAGTCCCATTCATGACCCATTCATCTCTGTTTCATGTTGTTGTGAGGAACAGCACCCCAAATTGAATACTTCAGGCCATGTTATCTGTCAGTTGATTGTTAAAGCAGCATTTCTTGGGTGCCTACCCTGGGAGGCTGATGCTACCCTTCTGGTGGGAATGCAAACTGGTGCAGCCACTATGGAAAACAGTGTGGGGACTCCTCAAAAAATTAAGAATAGATCTACCATGTGATCCAGCTATTCCACTGCTGGGTATTTATCCAAAGAACATGAAAACATGAATGCATAAAGATACATGCACCTGTATGTTCATTGTGGCATTATTCACAATAGCCGAGACCTGGAAGCACCCTAGGTATCCATCAAGAGATGAATGGATAAAGAAGATGTGGTATATATACACAATGGAATATGACTCAGCCATAAGAAATGATGAAATCTGGCCATTTGTGACGTCACGGATGGACCTTGAGAGTATTATGCTAAAATGAAATAAGTCAGAGGGAGAAAGTCAAATACCATATGATCTCACTCATAAGTAGAAGATAAAAATAATGACAAACAAACACATAGCAACAGAGATTGGATTGGTGGCTACCCGAAGGGAAGTGGGAAGGGAGGAGAGCAAAAGGGGCGATTAGGCACATGTGTGCAGTAATGGATGGTAATTTAATCTTTGGATGGTGAACATGATGTAATCTACACAGAAAATGAAATACATAATGATGTACACTTGAAATTTATATAATGTTATAAACCAAAGTTACTGCAATAAAAAAAAACTTGGACAAAAAGTGTGAAGATTTAATAACCCCTGTTTATGAGGGTAAAAGTGAGCAGGAAGAATAACCCTTGTCTGTAATTTAGAATCAACGGGAGGAATAACCTCGTCTATGAGGGTAAAGTTAAGAGGAAGAATAGCATCCATCTATGAGGGTAACAGTGACAGTGGAATAACCACGTCTATGAAGGTAAAGTGAACAGAAGGAATAAACCCAGTGTCTGAGGATAAAGTGAACAGGAGGAAGAACCCCCATCTGTGAGAGTAAAAGTGAACAAGAGGAATGACCCGCGTCTATGAGGATAAAGTGAACAGCAGGAATAACTTTGTCTGTGAGGATAAAAGTGAGGAGAATGAACAAGCACCTTCTACAGGGTAAATGTGAGCAGATGTACAGATTTCACTGCCTGGAGATCTTTCCCACTGGCCTCCTGGCCCTTTCTCCCTTTGTTGTCACCATGTCCAGAATAGACTTTCTAGGCTGATGTTCTTTCTCTGACAGAAGCTCTAGAGTTTGGCCTCGAATGAATATGTCTTCCTGACATCTCTGCCCACCTGTTCTCCTGATGCTGGACTGTGGAAACTTGTTTTTGAATCTGCACCTTGATGTCATCTCTGCTAAGTTATTTCCAGTATGATGCACTGGAATAGTGGTCACCACAAGACTGCTCCCTCAAGACCCGTCCCCAGTGCCAGGGTGCAGATGCCTAACGGGCTGCCTGTGTTGCCATGGCCTCTCCCGGCAGACTGTATTTAGATACACACATGCTTGGGACACTCATTGGCTAATGAAGAGAAAGCTCTGACCTGCAGTTCCACATGGATGGACAGTGAGTGATGAGGATGACTCAGAGGTTCTAAGTGGACTCCTTCCCCAGTAGGAATCTCACCTCCTGGTGGGGCTAAGGCATCATCTCTGACAAGTATACAGGGGATTTCATAAATGGGGGGACAAAGGCACAAGGGCACAGTTGCACACCACATGTGCATACCTACTGAAAAACATATTCTTATTTAAGACATCTTAAGGAAACAAATCTGGAGAGCTGTGTTTCAGGAGCTTTGGGGAACGAGTCCATCCTTGGTAGGAGCGTCCCCAGCCCATGCATTACTTGCAAGCTCAGGAAGCAGGACAGTGCACGAGAGGGCAGCCCCTTGATCACAGATGCAGGTCAGACCTGCCTTTCACTGTCCTTTCCTTTCTCAGCTTGTGGAAGAACAGTGCCTTGGAGGCGGGGAGAGGATTTGAAATAACCTAGGTGAGGTTGGAGAGCAGGCTTGGCACAGTCAGCGACAGTGGCAGCCACCTGCAGATGCCTGGTATTATTTGGTGATAAGCATTTCCCCATTCCTGTGCAGGGCTAGGGGGGCTCCCTTCTCCTGAGAGAAGGCGTGGGGTGGAGTGCCAATAAGCGGCTGGGCGCCGGGCTCCCAGCCCAGTCCTGCCATCTGCTTGCTGTGGGACTTTGGTTAATTATCAGCCTTTCTGAGCCAGTTTCCTCCACTGAATAGTAGCATCTACCTGGGGGTGCACCACCAGCAGCTTCACAGGAGATCCCAGAGCAGTCGCTTCATGCCTCTCGGGAGTCAGCGACTCTGGACCCCAGTCCCGCCTGCTGCACTCCTGCTTCTGTCTCCACTTGAGGTTCTCTAAGGATCTAGAACCCTTACTGGACACCACCCTCATGATCTCCTCCCATGCTGGCTCTGTTTTTGGTGTGTCCTGCTTCAACCAGTGGTCCATCTCACCATCCTCCCTCCCCCAGAAGCCTGCCTTCCTCACTCTCACCAACACGGGGCCTGTCCCCTCTGTCCTGCATGTCTCCGGGCCATTCTGCTGCCCTGGGCCCTGCCTCACGTGGCACTGCCTGCTCTCCTCCCCAGCTTGGATGCTCAGCAGGGGCTCCTTATCCGTGTGTCCACAGTGAGATTCCTGACTCTGTCCTTCCTGACGCTTCCTCGACTCTCGTTTCCTTGGCTCACCAGCTAGTCCCGTCAACAAGCCCTAAATTGTCTCTCTGAGGCTGGCAGGTCTCACCCCACACTCACCCGGCCACCATGTCCTCTGAGCTGCTGCGAGCCTGTTTAATTCCTCCTCACCTCCTGAGACCTGGCTGGCTCTTAGAATCAGCAATCGCAGGAAACCATCGTCGCTCCAGGTCTTCTGCTTCACTGCTCCCTGGTTTCATCTCCATGTCCCCTGCCCTCACTCACAAGGTGCACTGGCCTGAGTTCTTGAAGCCTTCTGTCCCAGGTGGGGCCTTGGTGCCTGCTCTGCTCATCGTCTGCCCTGTGTGCATGTCTGTGTCCTGACCTCCTCTTCCTATGAGGGCACCAGTCATGCTGGCTCAGGGCCCACCCACATGACCTCATCTTAGCTTGATCATCTGCAATGCCCCTATTTTCACATAAGGTCACATTCTGATGTTCCACATTTAGCATTTGAACGTGTGAATTTTTGGTGACACAATTCAACAATATGCTCTGTTTTTACTCATTGATGACTTTGCTGCCTCTGTCCCCACTAGAATGTAAACCCTGTGAAGGCAATGGCTCAGCCTTTGTTTATTGCTGCATTTCCTAAAGCAGTGCCAGGCGCCCAATAGGCACTCTTACACATTTGCTGAAGAAATGAACAAATGAATGAATGAATGGTCAGCTAGGATGAAAACCTTTGCTGTACAACAGTTTTTATATAACAATATAATTGAATACTTTTTGCAGTGGTACTAACAGGATTTCACAGGCAATGGGTGATTTACAAGCCTGAGTGCTGGCATTCAGGATTTGTAATTGGAACTTTGAGTTACGTGCCATTGCTGCTGGTGCCTCTTCATGGAACTGGCATTGCTGGGGGTGTCTGAGGCCTTCTGGAACATGAGCGCCCCTTTTAATGAGTCACTGCTAGGGGGCTGTCCATCCTGTCTCACTGTTTACCCTTAAAAGTGTGATATTTATAGATCCTTTCATTGGCATGTAACACTTTTTAGAAATGAATCCATTAAAAAAATATGCATTTCCTTTGTACATTTGACTCCCTATCCTGAAATCTGATTTTCAGCATCTGCTTATCCCTCCATCTCCCATCTCTTCTCTCTCCTTTCTGTCCTTCCCTCGCCTCCCTCTTCATTATATTTTTTATTGAGGCTGAGATGAGCAGTTGCAGCACCATGGGCCCATTACACTTCCTAACAATTCCATTTGCAGTGTATTGTTTGTCTCATTGCTGGAAATTCAGGCGATTCATCACGCCTGGAGAAGCACCTGATCCCAGGTGCCCTGAGAGCCCGGTCACTATGTGACAGGAATACAGTGAGCGGCTGCTCTCAGGAACTGCGGGGCTGCGGGGGAGCTCCTGCCGCCTTTCAGCTTCCTGAGGACTGGTGAGTTCCATTTTGTAATGCTGCCCCCTTTGCTCTTCCCCCACAGCCCCCTGAGCCTGGAGAAGGGGAAGGAGTTGCTGGCGGGCGTTGCACGTCTCCTCGAGGTGCCGATGAGCGTCTTCGTGGACATCGAGTGAGTGCGGCTGCGGGTCCTGGGATACCCTCAGCTCACATTGGTTCTGTCCCATAAATTGGTTTGTGAGGGAGAGAACTATGTCTTGTGGTTCCTGTTAATTATGTCAGAGAGACTTTAGGAAAGAAATGAAAGGAAAATTCCAGTGGGTTTTGGCAAGTTATTCAAACACAGCTGAGAGCTGTGTGTAATTATGGAATTACATTTCCTGAAGAGTGGGACTCACTGAGGCTGTGGCCCTCAGCCCTGCCGCACCTGGAATCGCCAGGAGGCTCTAGAACCTTCTGGTTCCCAGGCCTCACCCTGCTGCAGATGAGCCAGAGTCTTGGGGGTGACGCATGCTGGTGAAGGCTCAGTCAGCATTTACTGAGTGCCTACAGTGCACAGCTGCTGCCAAACCCACTGCATGGGGGAAAGGGCTGGGGTCGCTGGGTGCCACCAGCCCCTCTTGCTGCAGTGGACTGAGTTCTAGAAAGATTTGGTGACATTGGGGCTGGAGTGGTGCTCACATGACAGGCACACGCTGAGGGGCAGCCATGTTCCTATTCCCTGAAAAGTGTTTACAGAAGACTGAGCGTGAGGATCATGTAAGGGAGATGAATGGAAATACACTGATGTGGGGAGTGAGTGGGGTCACCAAGTGTGGCCGTGGACTGACCAGGCATGCCACATTTCGCCGAGCCTGAGCATGGAGATCAGTAGTTCTGAGGAGGCATGAGGACAGGTTAGCACATGTGGCGTGAGCTCCTAAGGACCCAAAATATAGACTTAGCTGAGCCATCTGTTGATGCGAATGTGGACACAGGGTATGTCCATTGTGGCCTACAGACACTCATGCGTCACTTGTCCTCCACACGGCAAGTGTGTCTTGAGCACCTGCTGTGCCCTGGCATCATGCTGGGAGCTAGGCGAACGGTGTGAGCAATGTTGCCCTGCCCAAATGTCGTACCACTCAGTGGGAAAGGCAGATGGGTGTACAGGTGGCTACAGTGGAGGGTGCTTGGAGACATGTATGGGGAACAGCTTCACCTAGCCTGGGGCCTTCTAGAAGAGGCGAGCTGAAGTACAGGTGGCGATGTCCCACAGGGGGGCGAGGTGTGCTCCAGACGTGCATCTGCGGTGTCCAGCACAGAGCACAGGGTGGACTCAGTAAACATTTGAATGAAGAAGTCCACGGACGGGCAAAGAGCTGGAATGACCGAGGGAGCTGCTGAGAGTTCACCTCACCTGGGTGCACAGACGGCTGTGCAGGTGAGAAGTGCCGAGCAGCAGAGAAGGCAGGGCCATCTAAGGAGCCCGCACTCCAGACACACAGCAGCAGGCCCAAGGAGAGCGACTCAGTCAGATTTGCTGAGAAGGAGCAGCCCGCCTGCCATGTGGCCAAGACAGGACGAGAGGGAGGAGGGTTAGCAGCATTACAGGTGAGGGAGGACGAAGGGACCTGGTATCAGGTAGCTGCAGTGGGCATGTGGTGTCAGAAGCCTGCCTGTGAGGCAGAGTGGCATAGACATGGAGGGGAGGGTGAGTCAGGGCGGGATCACAACATACAGTGACCAGCCCCTCAGGATCCATCACTACAACCAGAGCAGATGTGAGTGGGGCTGCAGCCAGTGGTCCTGGAGCCCCAGCTGTCAGGCATTTCCCTCTTATATCTGGACCAAGGGGGCCAGGGATGGCTGGGCACTGGGCAATCTGGTGGTGGAAGGTGGGCAGGGGCAGCAGCTGTCCCCAGGTGGGGAAATACTTCCATACGGTGACCCCAGTGTGTCTGACGGTCCTCCGAGCGAGAGGAAACCTGCTCAGACCAAGGTGTGTGGCGTTCAGGAAGCCAGGGACTTAGGAGAGATGGGAGAGGCTTTGGGGAACATCCTGACAGGTTCCACTTGGACAGGACTCTAAGGGGCACGGTCCAGGTGGCCAGGGATGGATGCAGATGCTACAGTCCTGATGCAGTGGATGCAGGGCCCTGTCTGTGATGGGGACGGAGAAGAGAGGACGGTGTGGAGGGGCGTGGGGCAGGGTCCCCTACAGATGTTCCCTGAGAACCACACACACAAGTGTGTTGGCACCATCAGGGTCTGCCATCGTCCTTCTACCTCCCCTGGCATGTCCATGTCCTAGACTGTGTCCTGGAGGGCAGGTGAAGAAGGGTTGCACAGAGGGTGATACTCTGAGGTAGTTTTGTCTGTGCTCTGTCACCGTGAATGCAAACCCCAAACCATGAGGCAGTGTCTGAGCACAGTGCACTGAGGGAGGCCCTGTGACTTCATTGGCAGCATGGGGGGCCCTCCTGCGCATGCTGGGTCGTAGAATGGGGATGTCAGTGCTGTGTAAGTACTGAGAGGGGATAGAGAGGGAAGACAAGTCCACCCAAGCAGATTGCAATCTGGCTGAAGAGACACACACACAAGAAAGCGTAGAGAATGTCACAGGAATACAGAATTGTTCAGCTTCGGGGGGCCGGGGCACTTCCACCATACATCCAGTCCAGGGTGCCTTGGTGGGAGGGGGCGATCTTACAGGCACCCGAAGAGCTGGGGCCTCTCTGCTCCCCACCGCGGGGCCATTGGTCCTGAAGATAGTTTGTCTGTCTGTCTGTGAGTCTTGCTACTCTGTGGAGCTTTCCAAGTTCTTTTTCCTACTGCCATTATTTTGTTTTAAAGTTTATCAGCTTTTGTTTTGAGTAGGAAGTAGCCAGAAGTTGGGGCAGAGGGGCTAAGGCCAAGGCCTGGCTGTAATAATCTGCAGTTCCCTTATCGGACTCCTTGGGGCCCACACAGCCCAAACTGTCCCCGCCAGCTAATGAAGCCCTTGTGTCAACTCCACACTGGCGAACGTGACCATCTGTAGAGATAGTTGTTCATTCTCTGAGGGCCTGCTACGTGCTGTGTGCCAGGATCGAGCAGAGAGCAAGTGGGTAAGGTCCCTGCTCGGGTGTAGCTGACCTTTCAGCAAAAATAGACTCATAGACAGAGCTAGGAAAGGTTAGGCAGCCTTAGTTCTCCTGGAAACAAAGGGATGAAGGGATGATGGCAGTGAGGGAGGAAGCTGCATGAGGTCTAGGGAGGACCTGCCTAGCTGGGGGTGCTGAAGTAGCTGCCCAGTGGCCACGCTGCTTATGAACAGGAGGGACAGCATGGTCCACGTGAGGCACGTGGGACGACACTGTCCACACAAGACAGACAGGATGGCCTGGTCCACGTGAGACAGATGGGGACGGTCCAGCCCACGTGAGGCAGGTGGGGATGGTGTGATCCATATAAGACAGACAGGATGGCCTGGTCCACGTGAGACAGGTGGGGATGGTGTGATCCATACAAGACAGACAGGATGGCCTGGTCCACGTGAGACAGATGGGGACGGTCCAGCCCACGTGAGGCAGGTGGGGATGGTGTGATCCATATAAGACAGACAGGATGGCCTGGTCCACGTGAGGCAGGTGGGGATGGTGTGATCCATACAAGACAGACAGGATGGCCTGGTCCACGTGAGACAGGTGGGGACGGTCCAGCCCACGTGAGGCAGGTGGGGATGGTGTGATCCATACAAGACAGACAGGATGGCCTGGTCCACGTGAGACAGGTGGGGACGGTGTGATCCATATAAGACAGACAGGATGGCCTGGTCCACGTGAGACAGGTGGGGATGGTGTGATCCATATAAGACAGACAGGATGGCCTGGTCCACGTGAGACAGGTGGGGATGGTGTGATCCATATAAGACAGACAGGATGGCCTGGTCCACGTGAGACAGGTGGGGACGGTCCAGCCCACGTGAGGCAGGTGGGGATGGTGTGATCCATATAAGACAGACAGGATGGCCTGGTCCACGTGAGACAGGTGGGGACGGTCCAGCCCACGTGAGGCAGGTGGGGATGGTGTGATCCATACAAGACAGACAGGATGGCCTGGTCCACATGAGACAGGTGGGGACGGTCCAGTCCATGTGAGACAGGTGGGGATGGTGTGATCCATATAAGACAGAGAGGATGGCCTGGTCCACGTGAGACAGATGGGGACGGTCCAGTCCATGTGAGACAGGCAGGGACAGTGCAGTCCACGTGAGGCAGGTGGGCGTGGAAAGGCTCTCGTGAGACAGGTGGTGACAGCATGGTCCACGTGAGGCAGGTAGGCCTGAAGATCCTTGCGAGTAGTGTGCTGTTTCTTCTGAGTGCTGGGAAGCCACCAAAGAATTTTTATCAGGAGAGCATGTTTCCAGCTGCATGAAGAATAAATTCATTACAGGGGACATGAGTGGAGGCCCAAGTGATTTGGGAGCTGCTAAGGTTTCTAGGTGAGGGGTGGTACCCCATGCTGGGCGGGGTTTAGCCTTGGAGAAGAACCTGTGTGACTGGGGGTTACCCACTTTTAAATACTTTATTTGTGTGTCTAGTTAAGCTGCACATAAGCCCCATGAGAGTGACTTTTACTTTCACCTGTCACCTCAAGAGTCTGTTAGAATTGTCCTTTGTCAAATTGCACTCCTTTCGAAGTGAGATTCAACACCTGGTCTGTGCATCCGTACTGCCCGTCTGTATACCATCCCCTGAAAGGGGCTTGGCTGTAGGACTCAGGAACTCAGCCATGAACAGAGGCCCTGTGGAGGGCCACATGGCAGCTGAATGGGCACGTTGTTCCCACTGACTGTGGCTGATGTCAACTGGCCCTTTGCCCATGTCATAGCCTCTGCATGGACAGGCACAGAGAGAACCAAGCCTGACCCGGTGGTGCTGACTCTTCTTTTCAAAGGGGAGGGAGGTTTCCTGAGCATCCTGATGGGCCTGTTTCAGCCTTCTGTGGATGCCTTCCCTGCATTCCACACATCGTGAGTCATCTTCCATCTTCACTACGGATGCTAAGCTCAGGGGCCAGAGTAGTCCCTACACACATTCACACCAGGCACCCAGCATGGTGACTCTACAGCGTGGGCACGTGTTAAATGTATGAGAGATGGCACAGCACAGGCCTGTCCCCTCAAACTGCCCCACCAGCAACAGCTGA